AATGGCAAAAAACTGCCGGTTAACCAGTTGATTTTAATAAATACGATGACATGTATTTAGATCTCATTTTGTATATGCATTTTCAAATATAATAATAAATCAATGATTTAAATAGTTTTAGCTATGTCATATTTTAAAAAAGATATATTTAATTTATTACAAAATCGTAATAACAACTYGTTAACCGTAASTGCTAAATTBTATGTGTCYTATATTTAAGYTAAGTGRTAAATTAAWTTTATTASAAAATCGTTGCTATATATGAAATAACTTTGTATGTTAATTTTATATTTTAAAATATTAATTATAGTTTATTTTGTTGGAATCAAAATTATGTTTTAAGATTAATTAGATAGTTTAGCCATATCATCATTTATTTAAGATATGTCATAATTTTGTACCAATAGAATTAAAACAACTAAGATTCTTCACTATACTTGCAATAGGAAGGGGATTCATTGATATTAGAAAGATTGTAACAAATTTACTACAACAGATTAACAAAACCTTTTCCGAATGATCCTCGTGGGCATTTTTAACTCATTCTCAACTCTCATTAATCTTATCAGTTAGTTCTTGTTCATAATAAAAACTTGTTTTATTTTTACGTAGTCAAATTAAATACTCTCTTTTTCACAATATATAGAATGTTGTAACTAAAAGTGTGAAAATAAAAAAGTTTGTTTTCTTTAAAAGACATCATTCAATAGTTTATTTAAAACAATCTAACTTATAATAAAAGATAAACTGCAAAATACAAATAGTCATAAATAAATTTAAAACTTAAACTTGTAAATGTTTGAAACAAAAAAACATTACCTAAAACATCTTATATTATAAAATGGAGAGAATATATTAAAAACAACAAAAACATGCATCAATAATGCAAAACATAACAACTATACTGATCAACACAAGCATCACCGTTCTTGAGATCAACGATTTTGTCCGAGCTTCGACATAGCCTCTAGCAAACCGGAAAAGTCCACTTCCTCCGATGATTGGCATTTCTCTGACCTCCGAGAACACCTTGTTCCGACCAAGAATCGTGATCGTGCTTCCGTTATATTTCCCTGTTAAAAACAAAATTCATAGACATAAAAAAAG